ATTTGAACATCCTATGTAATTTTATGTGATAAATAATTTAGTAACTTCTCCTGAAGTCCTATCTAACAAGTTACTTTTAAGGTAGTGTAACTTGGCTCTCTAGCAGGTTAACTCAGGGCTTACGGTAGGATAACTCTGGTTTGAAGGTAGGGTAGCTCTACACAGACTTACTGTCAAGCAATTCAGGGTAACTACTGCTCCTCACTAGTACCTATGAACTTCTTAGTATAGTATAACATGTCCAACTGATGTACCTAACTAACACTACCTCTACTCAGTAGACTTTGGGCAACCACTGTCTACCACTATTCCTATTGTGATAATCTCTTGATACTGGTATTGGTATAGGTTTGGCTAACTCTAATAGTACTCTGTAGAGTCTCGTTACAGATATCTTTGGCCTAGGCTATAAGTAATAGATCATTTTTATACAAAGATATAATATTGAATATTAGAGGTTTTCTATGATGAGCCAATACATTCTCATCCACCCTATAATAATTAGAAGAGTTTAGAACTCTCAGCAAGTACAACTAAAGAAGCCAATAGACTTAGTGTTATGTTACAACTAGGCTAAGGAATTTTTCATGGTTGCGGGAATTATTACCAATACCAGATAAACAACTAATACTCTATTGCCTAGAACAATCAGGAGTTACCAATCAAGAGATGATCTGTCAATCTGGTAGAATAGCTTTCTATGAAATATTAGGAAGTGATTCAGAGATTATTCATCAGTTGGATCAGCAGTTATGGAGGTTTAAAGTTAGTGACCTAATATGATTGCATCATTGACTACTTCTGCAGACACAATTCGCAGATGAAACTAATCATTTTATCCATACAGGAGACAATTGGAGCCAATACAGCTTGACATGAGAACTATGCCATAAGTCTAAGAACTACAAAGTTCAGATAATTACAATTGGAAACTATACTGTTCCCTCATTGGTATAATAGTAATTACTGAAGAGGGCATGATAGTTTCCAGAGTCTCCTTGTATTTGCTCTTCTGGAGAATATCCAATATTATGAGTTATAGTTAAAGAGGTACATAATTTGTATGAGAGATAGATGTAGTCTGTAACCGGTATGAGTGCTTGGTTATTGGTTTTGTTTTATGTTTTGTTTTAAGTATCGTTTGATACTTGGTTTGTTTTAAAGTATCGTTTGATACTTGGTTTGTTTTAAGTATCGTTTGATACTTGGTTTTGTTTTATGTTTTGTTTTAAGTATCACTTTGATACTTGGTTTGTTTTAAGTATCGTTTGATACTTGGTTTTGTTTTATGTATTGTTTTAAGTATCGCTTTGATACTTAAGGAGTTTTACCAAAGAGTATCAATTGATACCTTTGATTAGTTTCGTTCATGCTAGACATGAACAGATTTGTGTATTTAAAGACCGCCTGTTTCTACGATAGAAAAGGCAGACTTCGACAGACAGTATTTCAATATACTTGGTTGAACGGTTACTTCTTTGTTCCCCTGTACACCCTCGAAGCCTCCTTTAGTTCTCAGCTCTCGCCTCCTCTCTGAAAGAGCAGGCCACCTGCCAACTATCGTATCTATTACCGATAACGTGATTAGCACCTTGCGAACACGTTACATAGTCTGTAAATACTCAGATGTGGAATATATATATCAAACTACCTTCTGAGCTTTTAGATATTATCAAGTAACAGAGAAGAGATCTTAACAATATAATATTGTTTTTACAATTCTATATTCCTTTATGTGGTTCTTAGTAGTCATAAACGAATTGAGCACACCTTGGATGTTCTTAGACAAATCTCCATCTACAGAAACAAATCTCAATCAACCTAGACAACTCTGAGTCTATACGGGTTGTCTTCACCTAACAGCAATTGAACTCTCCTGTGCAACATCAATGACTGCACATTCTATCGAAGTGATATCTTTTCGTACTCTCCCCCCTACCAGAATCCTCTTATTTGTACATAATTCTTTCCTGACAAGCTGCATTTTGAAGACTAATTGCACGAGGTATGGTGGTTTGAAGAAGGTAGGGTGGTTGCAATCAATGTCATTACTCAAACATGGTCGCACTTTATCCCTTGGACGGTGTGAAACAGTAAAATTTGGACCATGCTGCACTAGTCTGAAAAGGTATACTTGGCACTTATAAATGCACCGAGTGATATCAAATGATGGCGGTTGCAAGCAAGCGAGCAACTCAGTCAACAAACAGCTCCGTGAGCCAGAAACCCAGGTAGATACCACTATTATACATGATATTAAAGTAATAAAAACACAAAAGATAGAGAAAACAAATACAGCTTTAACCCTGTTGACTGAATATCTGTTTATGTCAAATCGTAAAACAGCTCTCACAAAGGAAAATCTCACCGCCCCGCCCCGTACACCCAGACTGTATTCGTGGTGCTCAAACTCCTTTCTGCTTCATTCCTCTTAAAGTAAATAGACACACAGTACATGCAATGCAGGAATCTGGACCTTTTATAAATGAAAGTCTATGGTCACTTTTATTGCCAACTAGTGGTGGAAGAGAGGTGTGGTGTTGCAGCTTGCTATATCGAGGGGAGGAAGTCTTCCGAGCATAGTAGGACTTTCCTGGCTGAAGCTGCCTTTGACTGTATTTTTTAATAATGGACTCGGTAAGCACTTGACAAAAAGTACGTGATGAACCAAGCTGGTAGATATGGGAAAAAGAAGGAAGATGAGAGAGTAATAGGTAGGAGTTAATAACCATTGTATCTAAAAGCCAGTAGAAAATGAGAGGCCAGTTTCGTAGGCATTTTAATTGCGTAAAATAGTAACTCCAATATTGATCTGCTAGATCTACTCCTACCTTATACTGGTTGTAGTCATTGGTGATAACTGGGATGGGAACCTTAACCCGTTTAAGTGGACCAAAAGCGCGACGGATAGCAGGACCATTACTACTAGTCTGCCGAGGTTTCTTCCGCTCTGAGATTATCTTGTCTTGGAGCATGTGAATAGTACTTAAGAAATAAACAGCACTGTTATTCTGCCATTAGACCACAAGGACTTTGCCTGAGGAATCAGTAATTCCACCAGAGACTTCATTCTATGGAATAATTTTCTGCTTGTCATGAAGCTCTTGGGGAAAAGCTGACTGGGTAACTCTTGCTGTACTACAAGTTCCAATTCCTAAATCCCTGAGCTTTGCTAGCAGTTGCTGTGAGGTGAAGTAGTTGTCCATATAGATATTGAAATGTGATCCAGAATTATAGGACAGACTGTGGGCAAGCTGGAACACAGTTGAACCAGTACGGGTAAGGTCTTTTTCCAAAATCACTCCCGTAAATGAATCTGATCGTGATGCGAAGATCTAGTTATAGGTATACCCTATATCACATAAGGCAAACACCTTATAGCCCTCAGTGATTGGCTTACTTGGCATGCGGTACGTATGGTGGCTGTGGCCTCCAAATCTTATCATCATTTCGTCGATTGTAACATTGGAAGCAGGAAAATAGAAGTGTTGAGATCGAGATTGAATCATCGTATTTAGTGGCTCAAGCTTCTGAAACCACTCTGCACATGACAGTGGCAACTTTGGGTCTGATATATGTAGGTATCGCTTTATTTGAGTGAAGCGTTCCTGGCTTATCACACGCATTATTCTTCCTTCTCCTCTCCAGCTCTTGGCCCAAAACCCCCTACTTCCACTCTCTCTCTGCGCTCCCATATAGATTAAGAGAGCCGAAAACACCTGGATTTCAGCTTCAGTTACTTTCCTCCATGGACGACACCAGCATGAACACATTCCACCTTTAGCCTGCTCTGAACACCCTTGTCCTGCACCTTTCTCCTCTGCATATAAATTGGTACCATTAACTAATACATCCACTACTGCTGAATCCCAAAACAGCTCGAATACCCGTAAGCCATTGGCCTTGGTGTCCTTCCAAGGTAGCAAAGGCTATGCAATATGATCAATTCGAGGAGCAAGCGGGTGGTATGAGTGAGTTATCACTCGTTGGTGTATTTTGTTCTTTGGATCGGCACCGTAAAACGAATTAGGGGAGAGAGAAGAATGAGGTTCTCGTAGTTTATTTGGCATCTCTGATATTGTATAGGCTTCTGGTGCTGAACTTTGATTTTTTCCTTGCACCAATCTATGATCTCTGACATTGTCATCTACCAATGTGACCTTTCTTTATCCAGAATAGTGTCTTCTGTGCTAGGTATAGCGTGACATGGTCCGAATTTTACTGTTTCACACCGCCCAAGGGATAGGCCCGAGTGGGACAGTACTTTTGACAGGGCAGTTTATGTGAAATTTTTTTGAATGGTAGACTATGTCTCAGCCAAGGATGGCATCCGAATGGTATGCACAAGAATGCATAAAATAACACCTGATCGCTCATGGTTACAACGAGATCGAAAGGGTAAAAGTCCTTAGGTTGCTCACAAGTCACAGGGCAAATCTGACTAACCCATCTTCCACTTAGATAGAAATAGGAATCCTGTGAGCTACTTCTGCTGGACTTTCCCTTAGTCTACCCCGTGTCAAGGGATGAAGTACCAGTCCTCGGGTATGAGTGTAAATATTTACTTAGTATGGTATAATTGCCATAAAGTACTGGGCCGCAACAAAGGTACCAAGACCAGCCTCGGCCAAACATCGACTTATAGAGTACTCGAGTATACTGGAGTAGTTGGCAGATATGATTCTGGCATGCCTCTAGTAAGAGACTATTGATGGGGGTTGTTAGTTCGTCTCTCTATGTCAGGGGCTCTGTCAATAAAGTTTTGCGCTCCGAGTGTCCTTAGCACTGAGGGACAAAAAAAAAAGACTTAGCGCTCGGGGATGGATCATTTGGTAGTCAGCCACCAGGTTGTGGGCAACGATGCTCCCCACTATGGTGTGATTGCATGATCTGGGGGATCAAAAAAAGGATCCCAGAATACTCCGAAGAGGAATCTAAGGCACCACTTTTGGACCGCCGTGATGAAATATCAATCGAACATCATCTGTGCACAAAGAAAGAGAGGACACCAGAGGCTTATGAATTCACTTCCCTCCTAGTCTACAGGCCCAGGCCAAAAGAAAACAAGCTAAATCCATTAAGTAGGCTCCGAACTTCTCTCTGACCCACAACGCCCCCGGGTCCTGCCGCCGTCGTCATTTGTTCGGGAGAGGCAAAAGGAAAACTGAAACACAACCTCCGAAACCCAGAAAAGAATAAAAGAGAAACACCACGTTTTTGATTCGGGAGGCGGGGATCGTTTATTTGAGCTTCTTCTTGGGGCGAAGCTGATTGGTGTGTCCGCACTTCTTCTTGCGGCAGTTGGTGGCTCGGGGTGGCAGACGGGCCTAATACAAGTTAGTTAGCTTCATCCGCTATAATTTGTAGCCCAGAAGATACATACGTAGCACTTGCGGCAAATCATCTTCTCGCAGTTGTACTTCGAGGCGAGGGCTTTAAGGGAAGGCTCTATGATACCACCACGGAGACGGAGGACCAAGTGGAGAGTAGACTCCTAAAACACACAAATCGCGTCAGCCGGCTACCTCCACCAGCAAAAGCAAAATTTGCGGACACATACTTTTTGGATGTTGTAGTCCGAAAGGGTCCTTCCATCCTCTAGCTGCTTTCCGGCGAAGATCAAACGCTGCTGGTCTGGGGGGATTCCCTCCTTGTCCTCTATACTTCCACAAACACATTCTTAGCCTCCTCCCTTCCTTCGTTAAAACATCTAGGTGTCGGGAAACGTACGGATTTTGCTCTTGACATTGTCGATAGTGTCCGAGGACTCGACCTCCAGGGTGATGGTCTTGCCAGTCAAAGTCTTGACGAAGCTGTACAGTATGTCCCGCGGTTAGTTTTACCGTAATTTCTTGCAGAGCTGGATCCAGATTTTTTTGTAAAACACTCACATCTGCACTGCTTCATTTGTTAGCTTGCGTTCTATCAGGGCTTCTAGGATGCACGTACTCTTTGCTGTTTGTTGGGGGGTCGTTAGTTGGTGGAGGTTCGTGATCGCTACCTTCTAGTAAATTAGACGGTCGACTTGGGAAGTTTGAGTGGTCCGGAGTGCGGCGCCACGTGTAGGAAAGCAGTCACGGCTATCGGCCGTGAGTGAATACGGGCATTACCCGGCTTTCAAGTTGAGGATGGTCAGCTGACGACATAAACTTACCAGTATGATACGAGTACTGTAAATCTATGATATGATACTTGAGTTAATTTTTTTTCTAGGCATCAGGGCAAACGAGTTTAGTCTAGACTACTAATTTAGTACTAGTACCATACTATGATAAGCTTGGGCGTTTTGGGATATGGTGACTAAGCGAATACTGAGTACGGTACTATGAGATAAAATTCTGGCTAATGATTAAGTTGAATTGGTTGGGTTTTGCCCGGCACAGTGTGAGTGAACGCTCTGCAGATATCATAATATTATGATATCATACTTGTACTTTGATTAAGGATGCCGGGCATTGGGGGTCAGGTTATATGGTGCTTACAATCCAGCTTGGTACCTGCGGGACCTAATATTGGAGATCTAGGCGACGACATTGAGTACTCTGGATTTTGCGCCAATTTTCCTCTGGTTTTCATAGTTTGCTGTCTTCGTATAACTGGACTATCTAATACGCAAAAACGTCCTACTTTATATACAACTCAACCTTATTGATTTCGTAGCTTGCGGGTTGGACAGGCTGGTGGGAGTTGTAGCTAGAGGGTATCGATATAGATTAACGTAGATATATCCGCGATTCTATGATATCCTTGAATTGTTGCCCATGTACAAAAACAAATATCAGAGGTTGTGGCATATACCACTCCTGGGTCAATGACCGTGCCTCCATGCTCTAGGTAGATCGGAGAGCTATCTTATTTTTGGCGCCATATCGGGCTCTCCTTGAGATGTACCGGAACCTCACCCTTTGGTGTATCCGGAATGACTTTCTCGAGTTTCTATAATACGGAGATTTAGCATTCTAGCGTCCTAGCTCATAAAGATGGAGGGTAAGCTTACCAAGTTATTAAAGACACACTTGTTGTATGGCTTCTCTTCGGCTCTGCACGAAAAAAGCTTGTGGTTTGCCTGATCCAGACATTCCCAATGCGCTCTGAATTCCTTCAGACAGTATTTATTGATATCCTCAAGCCTACATCACATAGTTCAATTGGTTAAGCAGAACGTGAACAGGCCCGGATAAACGATACTTACACTGAGGAAGCACATCTGGTAACCTTTCTCCCCTCTCTTAAGCAATCAACTGGCCCCCTTCCCTTGGCTTCATGCTTGCAAAGCATGTAGTCCTCGTTATAATCCTTGCATCTCGCCCCGATGAAGTATGACGCCGATAGGAGCGGGGCGGATGTTGCACCCACTTCCTCAACCTTAGGGACGGAATCCGGTAGAGGGGTCGTATCTATCAAGACAGCGTGATGGAACCTATCCTCCTCATCAGTCTCACTCAGCTGCCGAAATTGGGGAAGACGAACTGTGGTTCTCGAGGAGAAGTCGACATGGCGAGTAAGGGGCAACTTGTTTCAAACTGTCAGGAACGCCGTGGGGACACTCTCTTCTCGCTTCAACAGGGAACGAGCAACCGGCTCATTTGCTGCTCAGCGGAATGCCCACTTTGATGAGTAAGCAAATTTGCTCCCCCCACAAACGCCAAACCCTAGAAGCGCCCTCTTTCCCACGCGTCGCCCTCGCGTAGGAGCCATTTTCGCTCCTATAGCTGCCCACACTCTTGCATCTCCCATCTGTTTTAGCTTCCCACTCTACTTCCCTCATCCACTTTTCCTTCCCCAAACACATCTCCACTATAGAGAATCATCGCGATCATGTCCCTCTTTGGCTCGACCTTTGGTCAGCCTCAGCAGCAGCAGCAGCAATCCCAAGGTGGCGGCCTTCCCGAACAGCCAGCTGCGCAACAACCACAACAGAGCGGAGGACTCTTTGGTGGCGCTCCTCAGCAGCAGCAGCAGAGCACAGGCGGTGGTTTATTTGGCAGCCAACAGCCGCAGCAGCAGCAGCAGCAAGGCGGGCTTTTCGGGAAACCTTCGGGGCTTTTCGGCCAACAGAGCACCCCAACAACCCAACAAGGAGGTGGCTTATTCGGAGGTGGTCAGTCTACTCAACAGAGCACTGGTGGCGGCCTCTTTGGTGGCGGCGGTGGCGGCGGTGGGCAACAGAGTGCGGGCGGAGGAATGTTTGGCAGTCAGCAGCAACAAGGTGGGCTATTCGGTGGCGGTCAGTCGAGTCAACCTACTGGAGGTGGGCTCTTCGGAGGACAGTCAACTCACCAACCCCAGCAACAGTTCGGCCAGCAGGGTGGATCACTGTTTGGCCAGTCGCGAACTGGGGGCGGCCTTTTCGGTCAGACGCCATCTCAACCTCAGCAGCAACAACAGGGTGAGCTATTTAGCAATTCAACTGCAAATCAAGGACAGCAGCAAGGATCCTATATGAATTCTACTATGGGCGGATATGGACAGCAATCTATGTTTCCTATGATGTCGCAGTCTATGCGGGTTCAACAACAGTGTACGTGCTGCGTCAATGCCCATCAGATGCTCCCAGCACTAATTTCATGATTGTAGCTGCAAATGTGATCGTCGATAAACTTGGCAGAATAAAAAATGCTTGGGATACAGGACATCCAGACTATGCCTTCAAATTTTATCTCTATAATCACGTTGGTGAAGATAGGGCAAATATGTACCAGAAACCTCCGGCTGATGATTTGGCGGAATGGGAGAAGGCCTGGGTCGAGAGACCCAATAAAGGGTGCGTTCTATTTTTATTATTTACGCTCCTGAAGAATTTGCTAACCCTGATATCTGTAGATCTGTTCCTGTCCTTGCCAAAGGTTTCAAGGACCTTGACTATCGTGTCAAGTCCCAAGAGCAACAAGTTAACCTGTTCCGACATCGCCTTCACGAGATTCAGGATAAACTAGCTGCCCTTCAAAGCCGCCATGATTTGATGACAAGTATCAGACTCGAAGATTGCCGTCGTCGACATACTGCCCTTTCCCGGAGGGCCCTATCTCTGGCAGCCAAGGTTCAGGTAATGAAGAACAGGGGCTATGCTCTTCAGCCCGAAGAAGAGCAATTGAAAAAGCGTCTAGAAGCCCTCTCAAGGGCTGTGTGGGATCCAGCAGTGAGGGGCAGAGTGAACGAGATTTGGGCTAGAATGATGGTTGTTAGTGAGCAGGCGCGCATGATGGAGGCTACTGTTGGCAAGGTCGAAATTGTTTGGGATGAAAAACAATTACAAACTGCCGGAAAGGTTTGTCTTCTCATCAGGCGTTCCACACTATATGGATGGCTAATGGTATGGAATAGCTTTTGCAAACCAATGCGGCGGGCTTGGAACACCTCAATAAGGAAGTCAGAGACATTGAGAAGGCATTTGACCAATGGGAAGAAGAACAAAAATCTCGACCTCGGGGATTCTAGTCCCCTGCCTTTTGGAGCCCTGTTGAGAGTGATAATATCTGGTGGCTTTTTCTTTTCTTTTTCGATCAACTATTGCCTGGGTTTCAACCTTATCTTCGCAACTCCTTTCCAATGAGCGGGTATTAATGATATCTGTTTCGAAAAAAATGTATGATAGATGTGCAGCAATTTTATTTTCCTCAGTGGGGGACGACTTGCTGGAGATGTACAAATAATACAAAGCGCTTCGCCCTCAATGATGATTTATACTTCTACCCCTTAACCCATAGCCTCTCGGATTAAACATGTACAATGAAAAAATCGTTGGATACATATATCATGTGTGATGCAGGCACTTTCTAAAGGAAGCTCTTAACGTAATCAACAACGAAGGGTGCTAAATCACAATTAGTACTCTTGAAGCGACCTGTCTCACCGAAGGCAAACATACACAAGTAGAGAAGGATACAAGTCTTAACAGCCCCTTGAATGGCGTTTTTTGCTTCTCGTTCTTGCTCTCTGATTTCCGCCGCTGATGGTGGTGGGGGGCCGACTGAAGGAATTCATTAGCAAGTCGATAGGCTTCTTGGGATCATTTAATAATGGTGGTACCTCCGAACATGTTTTGGTGGATTCTGGGCGATGTCCGTTAGGTGTTGATGATTGAAGTTGGATGGAGAAAGGCTGCAAACAAATGTTTTATCATACGGTAAGCCCTTTTCTATCTGATTTGCATGTGAGTCAAATGTGTCTTGGCATTGAACATGCTTTCTTTGTATGATAAAAGCGCCAAGGTTTTGCGCGAAAGTTGGATACAAAGACCCTGCAGTGACAAACCTCAACTCACAACAACTACATCGCCCACCCACCCCACCATCCGTGAGTATATTTCTTTCAACTCCGTTAAAGCCCCACTTGGTCCCGCTTCCATTCTCACTGTCCTGTGGAAATAGCTGCAGACACTCTAATGTCGGAACTCGAACTCCTTGAACATCGCGGCTCGCCGCCCCCCAATGCCCTTACGGAGGAGAACCTCAACACCCTGAGCCCTGCCCATGAGGAGGCTTCGAAGGCATCGGACAATGAATCCGTTCTTTCCGATATTGACGAAGGAATCTTCCAAGAGTTTGACGACTCCCTCATCGGCAGGATTGTGCCCATCGACGAGGAAACCGTTCACACTATTGGAAAGTACAAAAAGAAGCTTGATCCAAATCAACTCGCAGAGAAGTCTGGCAAAAAGGAGAAGAGGAGACGGGATATTAAGAGGAGAAGGGACGATGTTGAAGAACGCACTGGCGAGTCGGAGCCGCAAGAACAGGAGCTGACTGCTGAAGAGAGTGGGTGTTTCCAATAGTTTGCTTTACCTATCGTCGCTGACATATTACGTAGAAGCAAGGAGGGAGCTTGACCAGCGCATGGATGCTGCCCTAAAGGGTCCCAAGAAGAAGAAGAAGAAGGGTGAAGTATGTTTAATTGTGACCCGGTGCCCTGGAATCGCTCTAATTATTTTGGGTATAGGATCTTGAGGAAATGAACGACGACTTGATCATTGCTTTGAAACAACGTATGATTGACGCCGCAAACCGTGACCAGGAGGCGATCGTCAACGGTCAACAAGCTGTGCATAAGTTGGCGATGCTTGAAGAGGTTAAGGACATTCTCCAACGCCCAAATCTTATGGCGACTGCAATGGACAATAATCTCTTGGAGGCTATGAAGAGATGGTTAGAACCTCTTCCTAATAAGGCTCTTCCAGCATACGGCATCCAAAAAGTCATGTTTGAGATTATGGGCAAGATGAAGATCACTACCGACTACCTTCGTGAGAGCGGTATTGGGAAAGTTGTCGTGTTCTACACCAAGGACAAGAGGCCTCAGTTACATATCAAGCGCGAAGCCAATAGATTGGTTAGAGACTGGTCTCGTCCTATCTTGGGCAGAAGCGACGACTACCATTCTAGAGAAATCCCCATGGCTCATAACGGGCTCGTATACCCGACCCGAGATCCTCACTCAAGTGTTTGCTAATTTACATATTTTTTTAGTGACTCTCGCCTTCCCCGTCTCAAGCAGCGCGGCGATAATGAGGAAGCCAACCCTCTCGCACCTCCTGATCGTAATAAGAACCGCACTCGCGTTCCTCAAGCCATGCCTCGCTCATACGAGATCGCTCCTGCCAGCCGTGTCGTCCAAGGACACAATGCATACGCCAGACCTATCGGCGCAGCAGGGGACGATATCATCCGTCGTATGAAAGCTAAGAAGCAAGCGGCTAATAAGGGGAAAAAGAGCGGTATGATCATCGGTTAGGTAATTGGCGGGGCGTTTGGGGAAACGGATTTGGCTTTTTTCTTTCTTTTTTTTTGTTACATTTTGTTCCGTTCTTTTCACTTTTTTTCTTCTCTACCTCGTTTTACTTTACCCTCCATGTCTTCATAACTTTGTCAGGTGGGGGATTTCCCAATTTTCTAAAAATCGGGCTTCTGTTTCTTAGGTGGCTACCAAGGTTAGAATGTATTTCATTACAGGCATCTGTTGTTTCTTGTATCAATGGCTACCCTAGTTCCATTACGAAATTATCATTCATGTCAGTGCTGTGCGAGCACGATATCATAATATTATTATGAATGTTAGACTACTGGTACTCGAGCGCTGTGCTGGTTTGATATTCCCGCAATCTCCCATAAGCATTCAATGTAATCACGTGATATGAAGCCAATCTGTCACCCTATCGCATCTTAAACCTTGCCGTCGCCGCCCTTCGTTCCTTGAGAATATGTATCATAAACCAAAGCTCCCTCATTCATTCTCACCCTCACCCACCGACCTGAACAACCCACCCCTACTACAGCTACCTCACACACCCAAAGATCCCCAAAATGTTCTTCGGCCTAATGCCCCTGATCAAAAGTCCCCCCCTCTCCATCCCAACTCTAGCTCCCAACTAACAACCACCATAGTGACAATCCTAATGATAAACGCAATAGCGATCCTCTCCGAAGACCGATTCCTAGCAAGAAGTACTTTCCCCCTCACCGGTGAACTCTGCCACATTCGCTAACTGCTTTTGCACAGTCGGCTGGAGTACCGCCACCCCCATAGAACCACAATCATTCGGAATGCAGCAGCAGATCGTCGCGAACGAGAGCATTAAGGCTAAGACTATGAATTTGATTTCGGCGACGAGGACCTTGATGAGGAGTGAGTTCTTTTTCTTTCTTTCTTTCTTTCCTTCTGCGTTTGGGCGGGCGGTGGTACAGGGGGATGTGGGTTAATGCGGGTGGTCTGGGGGGATAGTACCGCTCATTGGGATTAATTCGCTGTTGATTGTTTATGAGCTTTTGCTCGGGTAGAGGGGGAGGGGTGCGGGAGCTACGGTGTTTACTAGGGTGGGATCGGAGGTGGTGGGTGCTAGACTACGGTCGGAGTGATGTCATAGATGGAAGGATGGAGTGTTGCTTTGTTTTGCTATAATGCATAGGGAATGAAATGGAAGGCTGCTGGAAGTTGCTTTCCTTGTCCTTCGGTTTCTTCCACGCTGCTGAGTGGGCTTTCGATTGTACTTGTACGATATGCTTGGAGTGCGTTCGTGGCCTTGATTGAAATATTGTCTCTATATCCAACGGTTGATCTAGAAGGTTCGGGGTGGTGAATTGTTTTTTTTGGGTAGCACTGTGCTGGTAAGGCTAATGGAAAAAGCCGGCTCGGGAGTTGGTGTCCTAGAAACTTGGCTGAACCGGGATTGGGCTTCGAGTGATAGCGGGTGAAGGTCATTATCTCTGGACCGGATTTAAAGGTGTTATCATAACCTCCCTCTATCATTGCCAGGAAGCGCTAATGTCACCTATTGATTTCTATCCCAAGCCCAAAGCCAATCTCCCAACATCACTTCAGCCTATCTCCCTTACCGTGCCCTTTTAAACGCTAACAAATCGTCCTCCCCCGTTACACCACCTCCCTCAAAACCTTCTCCACGGCAGCCTCTACCCTCTCTGCCCTCACACTCCTCGCCAACTCCTTCATAACCTTCCCGACGAAAAAGCTCGCAAGGCCCTTCCTCTTCTCCCCTCTCCCCCCCCCATCCTCTTGTAGCCCACGAAGCTGCACCAGAACACCAACGCTCCGCCCATCGTCATCATCGCTCGTCACGGTCCGGCGCACAATCTCCTCCAGCTCCGCTTCCGACAAGGCTTTTATCGCGAGATTCTCCTGCTCGATTATCTGCTCCACGGTTCTGGTTTCGCTGGGAGAGAATAGGGTTGTTGACAGGAGGGATTTCGCAGTAGCGGAGGTGATCTTGTTGGTTAGGAGGTGGGTGATTAGTGATGAGAGAGTGGTTGGTGTGAGGGGGTTAAGGGGCCAGGGGAGGGCATGGGTTGTTAGCGTTCCGCCGAGTCCGTGGATTAGCCTATGGGAAAGGGGGGATGTTAGAGTTGTGGGGTGGAAATTGGGGGGGGGGGGGTACCAGTTTCCAACTATTTTTCCGACTTCTTTGCCTTTCTTTTGTTTTGCTGTTTCGGCGGTTCCTAACGCGGTGGTGACCTTTTCGACGACGTCTTTGTAGTAGGATATTACCCCTACTTCTCCTTCGTCCCACATCATTAACGTTTGTGCATCCCTCACGTTTAAGTGATATCCCGTTCCCGTGAGCTGTTCGAGGACTTCATCAGGCAGCAGTGGCAACTCCTTCCTCACACTCTCTACAACCCCCGGCGCAATAACCACAGGACCCAGGTCTGGGTCAGGCATATACCTATAATCCACCCCCCTTTCCTTCCCTCTAAGCCTCTTCGTAGTCCCCTTCTCAACATCCCAACCCCTCGTCTCACCCTCGACCACCCCGCCGTTCTCCAAAATCCGCACCTGCCTCTCCACCTCAGCGGTTATCGCCTCCTCAACCAACTTCAGCGAGCTCAAATTCTTAATCTCGCAGCGCCGCCCAAGCTCCTGCACGCCCTTGGAGCGCACAGAAACGTTAACATCAGCGCGGAGCCCTCCCCACTCCATACCCACGACACAAGCCCCCACGGAACGCAGCGTAGCCTGCAACTTCTTCATAACAGCCGAAGCAAACGCCACACCGGGAATGTCAAATGGAGCGGTAATAATTTCCACGAGCCCCGCGCCAACGCGGTTGAGGTCCACCAGCGAGACATTTGCGCTAGCAATCGTCTTGCCAGTGTCCTGCTCCAACTGAACTTGGCGAATGGGCACGCGGACCCCCCCGCTACTCGCGTATGGGGTATCGTGCGGGTACAGCATTACGTGCCCGTCATTCGCGAGGGCAGAGTAGAACTGCGTGATCTGGTACCCGCTCGGTTGATCCCAGTAAAAGTAATGCTTCCTATCAAACCTGGACACCTCATTCACCCTGCACCGAAGTGCGATCGCTGCTCTTAGCGCGGGTAGTAGGACAGATTTATTAAGCCTCGGTTGCGACCCTGGTAGCGCTGCGTCGAAGGGCGCAATATGTGTGTTTGGGGGGGCGCTGATGCTCGTGCTTGACCGGCTGAAAAGCTTTCTAGCGCAGTTGAGTTGCGCGTGGATTTCTAGGCCACAGGTTACCACGTATGCTTCCGGGAAGGTCCTGCACTTTAGGGATTGGCGGGATCTGCGCTCGGATTTTAGCCTTGTTTTCAGGTCTTTACGGAATGTTCCGGTTTCGGGGGATGGTGGAGTGGTGGTTGTCGTCGTTAGTCTTCGGAGGGGGATTGAGTGGAGCCGGAGGCGGAGGTGGAAGGTGCGGAGACAGGATTGGCAGATATATGCCGTTGCGGGGGTGCGGGGTGGCATTTAGGGGGATTCAAGTGTGTGGTTAGTGGAGTGATGGGGGGGGAATGTTTGACGGTTGAGGATTGGTTGGCGGCGGTCATTAGTGATGCAGGGTAACTAACTCTGTACTGTCGGTATGATACTGCTTTAAGGGGAAACCAAGCAGCCGGCTTCTAAGGTATGGATTCCAATTCACGAGTCCCTTCCCAATGCTCTATAAGGAGGGGTGGGGCCTCCTCACTACCTTTAGATTTTCTTTTAATGGTTAACCTAGGAAAAGGATATTGAATGTTCAGCGATACAAATTCTCAGTCGGAGAGGCGAGTGATGGTATATGATCAAGCGGGGCATTTTTGGGAACATGTTGGAAGGCTCCTCAATTCGGCCAGTCTTGACTAGATATATACTAGAGCGCGCACAACTTCCGGACCCTTGGCAGCACCGCCGACTGGATGATAGGTGTTGCCCAAACCAACTTCCCTTGTATCATAAGCCGGATCTCGGATGATGTTGATAGGGCCCAGTTTAGCAACGACCGTTCTGCTTTTATGTCAGCACGGGCTGCCCCAAGCAAGAGGATCTGTTTTTCGTGACAGTAATTTGGAGCGTCCTAGGTGGTCGTGGGACTACAGTATCCCTTACAATTTCGCGAAACGACAGGAGACGGGTAGTCATCTACGAGCACGCAGTGCAACGCCAGGGATAAATCGGGAGACTCCCTAGTTTAAGCTACAGTACCCATCGACTAAATACTAGCCCAGGAAGCCAAACGACCGACTTATCTCTCCCAACGACAAATTTTCCCTTTCACGAGTGACTCTCCACGACTTCACCCGTCCCTGACAATCTCTCCCATAACCCTCCTCTGGAACTCTTTGATAATAGCATCGACCCTTAGTAGTGCACCGGAAGCCAGACCCAGAACCTTGCTCCCGCCCCTTCCAGCAATAACAATCCCACCGAGCCATTCCTGCGTCTCAACTAGCTCCTTGGGATGATCCCTCGCGAGCCCTACTCCGTCCTCGGAGTTCAACTCCAGCATCGTCAGCAATGTGAACAGCAGTCCTTCTAGCACGGTTTCCTCATCAGTGTGGCGGAGGCTGAATGTGACCTCCCAGATCTCTCTGGTCATTTGCGGAAGTGCGGGTGCGGAAGGACCGGTTGCGTGGAGGATTATGCCGAGAGTTTTGAGAAAGCTTGTTAGGAGGAAAGGGGTAAAGTGGATGCCGCGGCCGGAGCTGTTGGGTGTTAGATATGCTTTTTTACAGAGTAGTGATAGAGAGAGGGAAGGGGGACTTACTAGTCTTTCAATGCCGCCCACCATCTCCCCGTCAATGGGAAAAAGAAAGCCTCAGCAACTACTTTGCTGAGTTTGTTCTCCGTAGGTTTTGCACGCTTCTTTTCCACCTCAATTCTACTAGAGAATACACGCACTTTGATGACATTCGGCCCTGCAGCTTTATCTGATGCTTCTGCTGCCATAGGCTGGATCATGAGCCGTTCCAGAGTGCTTGTTATTCTTTCTAATGGAGTTCTGGGCTTAGCCTTGCTCCATATGGCGTCTCCCTTGGCGGGAAGGCGCTTGGAAGGGAATAGATCTGTGCTGCTCTTTCCCTTAGCTGACTCGATGCTGAGTGGGAGGTCATCATCTTTAAATCCAGCCAGCTCCCTTGCACCAATTCCGATTGCAGATAAAATACCGGCGCGTTGTCCCATAGAGTAATCCCCTTCGAAGAACAGCTTTGCTAGCAGTGGCCCCGCGATTGTTGGGAGAGAGACAACCAATGCAATTAGAGCTTGCATACGCATCTCTTGAAAGTTGTCCATGTCGTATTTGTCGTGCATCCCCGCGAGGTGTGAGGTGAGCTCGAGGGCATGATCTGTGAGTTCTTTTCCAAAAGCCGCTTTCCGCCGGATGAGGGAGGCAGCTGATCCTAGAGATAGTTGTTGACGGTCGTAGGATTCTGTATCGCGAAGCATAGATAGGAGATCTCGGATGTAGCTGTTTCTGTTAGTGAGTGATGGCTTGTGATTAGCGGGACTTACACTGGTGGGGTGTCCCGTTTTCTGACAACATCTGCTGCATCCTCTTCCGAGTCCTCTGGATCAGAATCTGGCTTTGCGTAGGGCACCAAGTCGTCGTCGTCTTCTTCCTCCTGGCCACCCTCTTTTACCTCTTCAATTACTTGGATCACCGAAGTCATCCTTGCCTTTGGCTGGATGGTTGGGTGCCTTTTCTTGCTGACGATTAATCCTGGAGGGGTCAGTAGACCCGATGCAGACCCGACTGTGTCTTCTATACTAGGAATGCCCTTCCACCATTTAGCCTCTTCTGTAGAAGTTTCATGGACTCCGAAGTTCATCTTGCTCCCTTCCTTATCGACGAGACCAGAGAAAGACTCCCCGACAACCATTCCAAGGAATCGGGCTCGTTCGGACGTAGCTCCAATCCGATTAGATATCCCATTTAAGAACGTTGAAGAACGTGCCATACGGGTCATGAACGCAGGCATCTGGCGATGGACATATCCGGCACAGAGAAGGAGTACCTGAGTGTTCACTTTAATGAATGAGACAAGAGAGAAAGAATAAGCATTTAATATATTTATAGTAGCAACAAATAAATGCACTAGAAGCAACCGCCGACCACCGAGACGGGCTGGCGAGAAGATCAAGTACAAAGAAAGGTCAGACAAACCTTCTTGCTGTAATATGGGCGCGTGTTTGATCCATAGCTGATTTGAAAAATGCTGCAGACTTTTTTCAAACAACCCTTTGAGAGTTATAGCATCCTTCGCTAGAATGGCGATGAGGGCTCTCCGGATTCCTATAGGCTCCCCGATTCCACCGCCTTGACTACCGACCAACCATTCCACTACTAAAGCTCGAAGATCATCATCGCCATCCACTAGAGAGCCTATGAGGCCCGCAATGGATGATACCTTGGCAGCATCCTCTTTCCACCATCCACTCTCGTGATACATCTCTGGCGATATAGAAAGGTGCTTCAAAGATAATTTACGTAGTAGAGAGGCCAAATATGTATGCTTGTTATGCGCCGGAAGAGGAAATATCAATTTGTGTAGTTTCTCTAGTCCACCTTCGGGGCGAATATGAGGGTAACTAAGGTTTTCCACGAATTCATCTGTGATCAATCGACATCAGATGTATTCCCGGGTAATAGATCCGCAACTCCTCATGTGAATGATATGGATATATACCACGATGTCCCAAACTAAGTGCCCTCACAATCACTGAATCTAGAGCCTTCCACTCGGCTTCGTTTGTAATGTCAGCTTTAAGGCTAGCCCAAGCAATCTCCTGACCAAGCCAGGATGTAAATAAAGATTCGTTCCCTATCCATCTCCCCGCCCCTTCATTGTCTGTGTCTAGAAGCCTATCGGCCTCTGCAGCGACGGATAGGAGCTTCCCGCCAGCTATTAACGAAGTAAATTCTTTCCAAGCCACTATTCGTTTTGAACCCGCCGAACCGTGACTTCCCCACTCCCAGATTTGATGAATAAAGCCTTCGACTCTTAAAACTGAGTGTAGAAGATCAAAAAGCTCTTCCATTTGTACGTTGAAAGAGCTCTCACTTGGTGTATCTCCCTTGCCCTTAGACAAAAACCGAAGCCTAGAAACAATTCCCCCAAGTCCCGTAATCGATCTAAGGCATTCCGCTAGCTGCTTTCTCTCCCTTTTCGGAAGGAGGTTCCAGAAGTTGGGCACGGTAATTTCTAGCAGTGTGTTGACAACTTGCGAGGCCTTCGGTGTAGGAGTACGAATGTCATATGAGGAGTGAGGCTGAGCATCCGTGGTTAGCAGGTCAAGAATTCGGAAAAGAAGCTCAGGAGAGGGCCTCGAGCGGAGAATAGAAAGGATATCATCCAGATCGGATATGGATCGAGAGATGGATGCTGGGGTGGTAGGGGCTTCAGGGGAACCAGTCGGCTTGGGAACAGCAGTGAGAAGGGGGGTATCGTTTTGTTGGGAAGAGGGGGGAAGGGTTGAGATTCGGATGGGAGCAAGAAGGTCCATGGTATCCGCCACACGGGTAGGATGTGATGTTTTCCTTCTCCTAACTGTGTAACCGTGTTGATTTGTTTCGGGAATTTGGATTGGAAGCTGTGAGATGGGGTAGGTGCTTGGGCGAGGTGCTGCCTATAGATGACAGTGCTTGTATCATGCCGGTATGAAAGGAAGAGGTCGAAAGCGGAGGATCTATACCGGTACCCTGCCGAAGTGTTGTCTTGGTTTGTGTCCCACTCTCGCACCCAATCTTTGTCCTAGCAGCTGGCTAGCGAAAGTGATCTTGCCCTCTGAGTACTGTATGTGGGAACTTGATTTGTGGTATACTCGAAGAGTATCGTGACTGTTGAGGGTAACTTTAGATCAGTTGTTGAATTCGGAACTTTGCTGTAACCAAACAACACCATAATCCTGGTCGTAGTGCAGCATTGATCATGCCCTCCTTTTGTACTCGTACTGTATGACCCCGACTTGTTGATACTGTACCGGTACTCTTCTCTCCCCCACCACCGCCGATACGCGATCCTTTTTTGCCAATAGTTTGTGCGTTGGCAATAGAAGCTTTGAAATTCGGAATCGAACGAAGGGATTGGTTAGTATCTGTCCGTCCTTCATCAAATCTACTCTCATAGTACTCGTACAGGTAACAGCCTCAGCTGGGACCGATACCAGGTACGGTCAGTATTACTGTACTGTACCCGTACAGTACATTCATCAGGACCTGGAGCACCGGTACCAGCATCTAATCACCCCGCCCACCTCCGCATTTCCGGGGATTGTGGAACGCAGGCCTCTCTGCTCCATTCACAGCATAGCTTACTGGTATCGGGAGGTTGTGAAGCGTGACAATGAAATTTCTCCGTGACCTTGTGACAATGGGTGTGTTTCATGCTTTTGGGTATGGTATTATCATATTCCACATACAAGTACGAGTACTTGACCATACCGGTACCGGTATTAATTACAGGGGCTTTCGGCTTTGTTCTGCTGAACGATTCCAACTTCCGACTATTATCCCTCTTTGACATGTGACCATCGCCTTGTAACTTACGACCTTCCCCCCCCCCCGACAATAGCCTACTCGTAGGGTCCATCATCAGAATGTCCAAGGAATCATGCACCTGTAAAGTGTTCCTCGGGACTCGGTGCTCTCGGCTTCACCGAAAAAGAAGAAAAGAAAAGAAAAAAAAAGAAAAACTCTAGATTCACGCTCTCCCACCTGAACCTCGTCTCCTCTCCCTTTCAAACTTACCCTAGACCTTCTTTCCCTTGACCCCTCTTCCCTTCTCCGTTGCCCCCAGACGTTGTGGTCGTTCTAGGATTTGAAAGTTGGCTAATCGGTAGCTCTCTCTCACCCTCACAACTCACCATGTACACCGATCCTGTTCTAGAGTATGGAAAGACCTTTCTTCCTCTGCCTCCTCCGGGAAGTCCCCATGCTGTTTCGGTACCTGGATCTGAGGAGGAAGGGCACACGCCAGCCTTTCGCCACTGGCGCGCCGATCCTAAGGGGGAGTTAATGAGATCTCTTGACCCAAAGGTAGGTCTCTGTAGATTTGTTTCTTTGAGATGGTGACAATTTCCTAGTATCCCATCACCCAGCTTGAATGAGCAATTGCCAATGTATGCTTACATCTCTAGATAAATACCATTTACGATGCTTTCGAGGCAGCTTGTACGGCCTTCCCCCCATACTCGCCGTGTGTATTATTATAGACTGACTGGCGCTCAACAGGCCAAAAATGGCCCAATAACAAATGCTTAGGGTGGCGAGAACAGAAAAATGCAACCGGTCCCTGGGGTCCTTATGTCTGGATGGACTACGAAACTGTCCAGAAGAAACGTGCAGATATAGGCGCTGGCCTTTCCTATCTACACACAGTTCATGGCGTAAGTTTCTCTCGGGATGAGGAGCCTCAGAACTTTGGTGGCTAAAGTCGAGCATAAAAGGTTACCGAGAAGCAATATGGTATTGGTTTATGGTCGCAAAATCGTCCGGAATGGCAGATTGCCGATTTGGCAGCAATGTCCCAATCACTTTACACCGTTAGTATCTACGATACTTTAGGCCCAGAGACCACGGAATACATTATCAACCATGCCGAGCTTCACTCTGTTGTTTGCAGCTTAAATGTATACACCCACACACCTTTATGTTGACCACTTACGGACTAAATCTTTATAGCATGTTCCTGCCCTGCTTTCCATGAGAGACAAGGTACCAGCCCTCAAATTCATCGTTTCTCTTGATCCACTTGAGCGGGAAGGAGAACCTTCCGGAAACACCAAAAAGGCTTTGTTGGGCGCTTGGGCGGAGGAGAAGGGTATTCAAATCTACTCGTTGGCAGAAGGTAGCTCTTTCTTTTTTTTTTTTTTTTTGATATCTTTTGGCCCGATAACCGAAAATTGAGCTGACAAGATTTGAAAGTCGAATCCATTGGGCGACAGCACCCAAAACCATGCGTACCGCCGACCCGAGATGACCCTATAACTATAAATTATACATCGGGCACAACCGGAAACCCCAAGGGTGTATGGCTGACCCACGGCAACGCCGTGGCTGCTGTCACATGTGCGATGACTACCGTAATCCATGGTGGGCCAACGGATGTAATGCTCTCGTATCTGCCGTTGGCCCATATCTTTGCTCGTCTGGCCGAGCAAGTTGCTTTGTGGGGAGGTTCAGCCATTGGCTACTTCCATGGTAATATCCTTGAGCTCGTGGATGATATTAAGGCGCTGCGCCCAACCACCTTCATATCCGTCCCGCGTCTTTACAATAGATTTCACACTTCGATTAAAACAGCCACGATGGAACAGCCCGGAATCAAGGGGGCCTTGTCACGTCATGTTGTGAACACCAAACTTGAAAATATGGGGAAGACTGGCAGTAATAAGCACATGCTCTATGATCGCATCTGGACAAATAAGGTCAGGGCGGGAGTTGGCTTTGATCGTCTCCGTGCGAGTGTAACGGGTTCTGCACCGATCTCACCTACGGTCCTCTCGTTTCTTCGTGTGGTCTTTGCGAATAACTTTTATGAAGGCTTCGGAATGACTGAAACGTATGCTGCGACTGTCGGCCAACTGGGTGGTGATAATTCTGCTGGAAACTGTGGACCTCCCTGTATCAATGTTGAGGTTCGACTCAGGGATGTCTCTGATATGGGATACACCAGCAAGGATAAGCCATACCCCCGTGGAGAGCTCTTGACAAGAGGTCCCACGGTTTTTAAAACTTATTATAAAGCGCCGGAGGCGACGGCTGGCGTATTCGATCAGGATGGTTGGTTTGCAACAGGAGACATATGTTCAGTTGATGAGTTGGGCCGGTTCAAGGTCATCGATCGTGTTAAGAACCTGTTGAAACTTTCTCAGGGAGAATATGTGTCTCCCGAAAGGGTGGAGAACGCTTATCTCGGAAACATGAATATTTTCGCTCAGGCATATGGTAAGTCAAATTTCCTTAAGGATTATCCAGAAGTTGACAAGAAACTCCAGTCTATGGCGATCCACTTCAACCGTTCCTTGTTGCCATATTTGGTATTGATAGAGATCACTTTTCAAGCTTTGCTAGCAAAGTCCTCAGGAAAACTGTCTCTGCAACCGATGAACAGGCTATCAAGGCGGCCTGCGGTAACAGGGAAGTGATCCATGCTGTCCTCCGCGAGATGGACCGAGTCGCGAGGAAGACCAAGATGGCCGGGTATGAGAGGGTCAGGAACATCCACCTCTGCATAGACCCCTTCACAATTGAGAATGACCTTTTGACGCCAACTCTGAAGCTCAAGAGACCCCCGGTTGCGAAAATGTACAAGAAAGAGCTTAGCGTCCTTTATGAAGAAGCACTGGCAGCGCAAGCTCCTAAGGCTAAGCTGTAGACGCTTTGTATACTAGTTTTTATTTGTTTTTGTTTTTTTGTTTATGCACGGGCATTCACTTTTCTTTTCTGTTACTTTGTGGGTAGGGTTGGGTGCACGGGATTACGCCGCATATGCTGGAAAACTAGATAATGCAGACTTTTGACTGGCGTTGTCTATACATATTTTCTTAGGGAGGATATCAGGTGGAAACATTCTACTTGTGTATCATATCTAGCTGTGAACCTATTTTTTTTCTATGGCCTAGGCTCTAATGAAGATGTCACTTAATCTATTTAGTGTACTAAGATCCGCTATCGCAGTAGAATCTTCCTAGATATGACCGGGCGGGCAGGTTCCTTGGATGCCGTATCTGCCTACCCATGGTTACTGTACAATACATCGTACTGTACAGAGCTGTGTATACATCCGTTCTGTGCATTCACACAATGTCACTCGACTCAACTCACATTAATTACTTTTCTGTGCATGGCTTCCCGATGACGAGGGATGTCGCGGCCTTCATATCTCAAAAACGCACACACATATATATACGAGAATGGACCACACTCGCTGGCATTCCATGACGCACTTTACTCTCCCGGGCTTTGCTGAGCGTCCTTGATAAGAGGACCTCTATTGTACCCTGGTTTTATTCTTATTCTCTCTTTTCTCTCATATATTTCACCAGTGCCCTCCGGTCACTTTAGCTCCCCTTGTCCTAACGACACCGTATTGTTTCACGGTCCGAGGAAGGAGGGGTCCGGTTTCTCGGAGATTTCCTGCTTGAAGGGAGAAACTCCGTCAGGGCCAGGAGGGGAGTTTAAGTGGAGGCACAATGCCGGTGGGAAACGAAGACTCGAGTGCAAGTAGAGCCCACGGAGAAGTTGGTGGTGAGGGTGAACCACTCGGGACGCCAGCTCCTATTCCCGATTCCGGGTCGGTCGTGGGTCAGCCCTCCTCTCTAGATAGAGGCATACTCTCTTCTTTGGACCTAGACGGGGGCATGGTGGAGGATTTAAGGGAAATTCCTACGGATGTTCATATCGCTCCGAATCCTGGAGGGGCGGGGCCAGAGATCCTGCCGTCCGAGGTGGGGGCTCCGCACCCAACTCGTGAGAGCCCCATGACGCGAGGAAGTGGGTCGGGTGTTGATGGAATGCGTCATTATCCTCCTCCTCCTCCTCCATCAGTAACACCGCCCAATTTTGGATTGGGGCATCTTCTTTTTGGGCTTTCTAGTTCAGGTTCACGGTTCCTTGAGGAAGGGATACATTCAGGAGGGGCTGTGGGATCTCCTTCCTTGGGCTCTGGTGAGAGTTACCTGAACGAAGGAATAAGAGTTAACCCACTTTTCACAATAGAAGAGGAATCCGAATCCTCAGGGGGAGATGCACCTCCAAAAGAGAGCGATACTCCTGAGTTTATAGATGGCTCACTGGACCTACAAGGAACCCAGGAGGGACCGGATACCATTAGGGCGGCACGGGCTACAACTGTGACGGTGACGGAGGTCCCAAGTGACGATGAATCAAGCCCAGACCCATCTAGGACGGAGGCTAGTGGCCCGGTTCATCCTGGGTTTCGGGGTTTTGTGGGTCCCGACCATCAGTTTTCTTGGCCCTCGCATGTTTGGCCTGGGAGCCCCAGAGTAACCCAGGAGGGGCAGGTCTCCATAGATTCAGTACTTGCTGGCGTAGGTAGTGTTTCTAGCGCTTCTAATTTTCCCACCTCTTTCGAGGGGGAGCGACGAGCGATACACAGGGGCCATCCTCGCCCCCCCGATCCCATTCACAGAGACTCGCAAAGCCAGTCTCCAACCCCACAAACGCGCCAGAGGAGCCATTCTAGTCCAGAACAAACACCACCTAGCCCAAGAAAAAGGGTGTCCTGGGCCCCAAGCACTTTTCAACCCCCCATCATGAGTAAAAGTCTCCACAGGTCTCCTAGCTCTCACGTGCCCCTGAATACTTTGTATCCTCTCCCCGGGAGCCAAGCTTCTGTGGGAGCAGGGAACCCAACTCCAATGCCGAGTCCAGACCCCGGACCATCCAGGGCGCAAACCCCTCGGCTCCGTCCACCTACCCCCGGGGAGGTTAGGGCCTATTCCATTCCACTCTCTAGGGCCCCGTCTCCAAGACCACAAGTTCACCAAAATTTTAGGCCGGTAAGCCCCAGGCAGCCTCCAACTTCAACGGGGTCCAGGTGGCCGAACCCCGGCCTACCAGTTTCAAGTATAAGTCCTCTCGGGGCTCCTAGCCCCTCCCTACCGGGGAGGTATGCGCGGCCCCTTGTTTCGAGCCAGCCCCCAGGAGCGCCCCCGACGAGCCGGGAGATGGCGCGCCCTGGATCCCCAGTAGGTCTTGGGCCGCCGATAACGAGGCTCACCCGGAGTGCCAGTACTAGTTCCCCCCCGCATCCCGGACGTGGTGACCACCACAGTATGCTGGTGCTGATGGGGGGGTATTCCCCTACACAAGGGACGCATACCCGGCCCAGTGTTCCGCCCCCGCATGAGAATGTCCTGCCCCGGAGAAACACTTCCCCTCAACCTCTGCGAGGGAATGTTATCCCACAAAGATCTCCCACAGCCCAGGTAACTGCTCCCCCACAGGTAGGGGCTCCCGCAGCTCAGGAGGGTTCTCTCCCACAGGTGGTTCGGTCCCCGCGTGTGCAGCCGAGTGCACCGCCAACACGGGAGCCATTACCACCGTCACAACCCCCATCACTACCACCACCGGTGCAAGGGGCGACAGCGGCAAAGAAGTCTAAAGGGTGGAGGCATGCGGTGGCGAAGAAGGTGCGTAAGATTTTTAAAGGGTCGCAGGGAGGTGAAGGACCTGCGGCTTGAGGTCAAGATGTATCATGTCATGGGCTGTCACTCGATATGTTTTGTTTGTTGGCCAATTAGTTTTCTTATGATGGGGGTGGGGTGAATAGCTGGTTGTTAGCTATTAGTTAGGCAGAGTGCTGGTACTCTGTGTTTTGTTCTTGTTATTGGTTGTATGGGAAGATGTGAAGGGTGGGCGGGATGTTGGTTCTCTCTGTGGCCGAAACACAGTGCTGTAGTTTGTGAAAGGTATATGATGTAGTAATTACCAGTTTTTGGGAAGGGAGTTGTCATCCTTTTTCTTCTCTCTTCTCCGAAGTAGACGTTGTTTTGGAGCTTTTTAATTTTTTTTTTTAGATAGCATTCGCACGGTCGTGACTGGGTTGGCACCCATTGCTCGAGAGAATTGCGAATACCCTTCTTATTTATTGTTTGTGCATGGATGATGTGCCCCTCTAGACGTGGCCTGCACACTGCGCTGCCGCTCGCGTTATCGGGTGACCCGTTATGCTTTGTGTTCGCTCCCAGGTACGGAGCGGGTTTTCCGCTTTGCGATGGGAAAAATGCACTTTACTTGTAGCGCTGTGGTGGTTAGTGGGATGGTGGTTGGTGATGGAAGGATTGACGCCGGCGGATTGTATCATATCGTAGTCTACATAGTTGGCCCCTCACTCACCCATCCACGGGGGTGATATCATATGTCGAGAATACCAGCCACTAACTACCTCCCATAATAAGAAGGGATTGGGGGGACGGGGGGGGATGGATACTTCGGCAACACCTTGCTCTCCCAAGACGTCTGTAATGATATTGTATCGAAGTCTGCGTGAGGAGGTTAGTACTGTATCGGTGAGCAATAAGAAGCGATTTATCACTTCATATTATGAATAAAAATTTATAATGGACGATGGTTTTTACTTTTGTTTTTATCATAACTGGGGTGGGTTGCGGTGGGTACTGTAGGTTGGTAGCTTGGTGGTAGATGTTTTTTTTTTCCCCTTCTACAGAGAAGCCTGACGGATTGAGAGCAGATTGATACATATTATAATAGAATTCCTAAGAATGCTGCACCGGTACGGCACAACAGTTCAATCGGTGAACTCCTTCTACATCTTTGTTCGGATGCGGACGGGACGGGACGGGACGATATGCGGTGGCCTTGCGGCGTTCTCTCTCCCTCTCTCTCCCCCCCCCTCTCTTTTTTGGCACAACTTGTTGAAATATGCTTCTGGCACTACCGTAGTATCACTCGCACTATTGATTTTCTCCTTGCATTAGTCTTGATCGCCATCTCAAAACCCCCTTACAATATTGGTACTATTGAACATACCTCCTTGCCTTTCTTTTCTTCTCTCTGTTTCTGTTTACTTCCTACTGTTGATTTACTCGCAACTTGTATCTCGCCCTCAACAGTAGATAGTCTGGGTAGTTTGCTCTCTACTGAGAAGTCAATTAAGCAATTCATTATTCTTCTCGTCACTCAACCAGTTCCAAAACCATCATTCCGTTCTCACTGTTTCAACACAACTGCCGTGATGCGTGAGCCTGGACAATGTCTCGGGGAGACTTTTTCTCTTCCCTTCTCGGGGGTTATTGTGAGTGAGTGAGAGTGCGTGTCTGATGTTGGAGTGGCACAGTATTGTACTGTACACGTACTTGTAAGGTACTACTTGTACCTTGCCTGCCGTGCCCGAGTGAACTGCCGTGACTGGGGGCGAAGGTGAGTCTACAAGCACGACACCAGGATAATTGACTTGATTGAAAGGGTATGGGCGGATCGCACTGTTGGCTTTTTTGCACCACAATTTTGGGGGACGGGGTGGCATCTACGGTACGGTACCGTACTCGAGCAGACAAGAGGGTAGTATCCCAGTGGCCGGCAGTTTATCAGGAATTCGAATCAGGCGCCCTTTGATCTCCAATCTGCGGTAATTTATTGTACGAGCACTCGTACTTATCCCCACGATACTTGTATGTCTGCCGCCGATTGGAAGATCCTTGAGCACCCTGGCTTCGTCTTACCTCACATTGTCAGCGCACACCCCTTCTACGATCCATACCCGTACCATTTTTTCCCCCTCATTCCTCTGGTTGCGGAATTGTCAGGGATGAGTTCGGCCGACGGCTTGCATTGATGCTGTTTGCAATACCGGTCTTGTGCGAATACAATTTACCCCCCCTCCTCCTCGTAACAAGCGGAAGCGAGCGGGCTACCGGTATTCAATAGTGGTAAGTGAGTGCGAAATGGTCCTCAATAGCCCCGTCGCACCGTTTCCGTGCAAGGTACTATGAGTGCCGTTGTCAATATTACTACGCATCGTTCTACGCCTGCTTGTTCCACCCTTTTTAAGAATCGTCTCACCTTTTGAACTGAGGCATTAAATTTTGTCGATACGACTCATCGGAGGTGTAGATTATGATATTTGGGATTGCGCGGTCGCCACCATCCTTCTCATGGCCTGTATCTCCTCCTTGCTTACCATGTGATGGAATGCGTGCTTGTTTCCTCTCCTCAAGTCTTATCGTGAACCACAGTAACTTTAATCCCTCCCTTCCCTCCCCTCGCTGCCAGGTTTTCGCGTTATTTTAGCGCGTGGACCAATCAATCAGTGCTGTTTAGCTACCCCCTCGTGATGGTGAACCGTTTTTGGTGGGTATTGTACTAGTACCGTACTCGAGCACTGTGCACCTCCGCTAAAAGTAGCGGTGGAAGGACGTAAACCATACAGTATGGTACTGGTATTCCACGGCAAATCAATGTGTTCCCGCTTTGCTGTGGGTTACCGTAACGGACTGGGAGTGCGGGGGCGAGGAATCAAAAGTTAGGAGAACCCCGAAATGAAAATGCCGGTAAACTCCCTGTTAAAGGTGGAGTTGACGGTGTGCACATACGAGTACTTGTAGAAGGGGGCTCCAGCCGCCCCGTGCACAAGGTTAATTGTGGTACCGTACGGTACTCGAATAGGCGTTTGTATCTTGATCAGAGATGCGCCATGTGGTAAGCCGTGTTGGCCAGCCAGCGCGGGGCTCCGATCCATTTTGCATGCGGGCAAAACAGCCTGTGCAGGTCGCCGTGAGTGGATAGCCGAGAAATCCGCCACAGTGAGATCGCCATCCCTTGAAAATCAATCTCCAAGCACACCCACCGGACATCCAGCCCGATGAGACTTCTGGCTCGATATGATAGAATATCCCACCGATTGACAATCGCATCCTCTTGGAAACCGACTCCGAATTTTAGCACGAATCGCTGAGAGCACGGGGGGCGTCTAACTTAAACCCCTCTGATAATCGGCGTGAGGATTGTCGTGTTTTCGTCGTAGCTCGGAGCTTGCGCGTGGTCAAGGGGACGAGCACGGGCACGCACTTCGGAGGATACAGTATGCGGGGTTTCGCATTTTTTCACTTCCACCGTCATCACCATTCCCTATGCACACCCTGATCTCCCCTAGTTTCTCCGTGGCTTCTATAACCTTACCCCAATCGGTATCAATTAGTAACTACCGGCACTCTTTTAACCTTATTTGTATGATATGATACTCTGATTTACCCCATCAGCCCCGGCTCCCCACCAAGTCGATAATCCAAAAACGAGGCGAGGGATGAACCTGTTATCGCACTGCACCCCACAGACCCTACTTCAATCAGGTACTCGTACTCGTAAATTATGTGCAACTTCCATTCCACAGTTGACAAGTCATGAACCATATCTACCGATAATCCATTCTGAGACATAGTATCATAGGCGAAATCACCTGATACCGGCAGATTACTAATGGCCTTTAGCCTAAAAGCTCCTTACGTCAGACTTGCCCCGGCTCCCAGGGCAATACTAGTATTTAGATTAGTCCTTCCCCGGATGCATTTCTCGCCCTCGATTTCTCTTCAATGTTCTTTCCTTGAAAGCACCGCTATAACACCACTGCAATTCCACTTTATCCACACCTCACGTTACCTAATCCACAATCCTCGATTCCACCTTCACAGGGAAGGTGAAAGAAGAAGAAAAGAAAAGCACCCGGAATGACCCTAACAATCCTCCCAGCCGAACTACTCTACCTAATAGGCAGCGCCCTCCCAACACCCTCCCTCTCAGCTCTGACCCGCGCCTCAAAGTACCTGCACGCCCGTCTCTCCCAGGAACTCACCAATCGCACACGCACGCCCGGCGACGACCACATCAGCGCAATCTACCATGCAATCCTAGCTCCGTCGCCAGCTCTCCTGACGGACCTCCTGTCACTGACCCCCCACCGCATACACGGATACAAGTACCCGGCAAACCACACGGCGGGCATAAACGTGCAGGACCTGGTCTCCTACGTCCTGCGCAAGGGCGCGGGGGCGGATATAGTCGGCAATGCAGCGCTGTACTTCTCCGTCACGCGCGGGAAGCTCCGTCTCACACGGCGGCTGCTGAAGGGGGGGGCGGACCCGTGCCTACGGGAAAGGTGCGACGTCAGCGCCCTGCACCTGGCCGCTATGGAGGGAGACGTGCACATGATGCGGATGATGCTCGAAGAGTGCGGGGTCAATGTCGGCATCGAGGACGTTTACGGACGCACGGCCCTGTACACCGCCATCACGTCCAGGAAGGTGCAGAGCGTTAGGGTCCTACTGGATGCTGGAGAGGATGTTAACCGTCGGACCTACGTGCACAATGGTAGGACGGTACTGAGCTTTGCCGTTTCAAGGGGCGAGGTCGAAGTTGTGAAGCTGTTGCTCGAGCGCGGCGCGGATGTTAAGAGGCTTGATCGCGGTGCGAGGAGTGCGCTCGGTATCGCGGTTTCGAATGGGAACGCGGAGATTGTGCGCATGTTGTTGAAGGCTGGAGCAAAGGTTTCCGACGGAGCTTCGGGGCACTTGGCGGAGGGGCCGTTGGTCGTTGCCCAGCGTTTGAAAGACCCAACCATCCATTGTATGCTGATTGATTCGGGGGGGCTGGTCAATGGTGGTGATGGTGACGAAAACTAGTTTCAAATCTTGGGCTCCAATGGCGCTTGCGGGGAGTTTTATGTGAACATTTCCTTGGCTTATTGCTTCGATGTATCATGTATTAGTTATTAACTGCCCCTTTGTTCTGGAGCCGCGCTGGTTTCTCTCTCACGATAGCCTGGATGATTGTGTCTTGTATTAGTAACGCTTTACTCCATTCACGTTTCCATTTGTCACAGAATACACGGCGTCTGTCTTTACTCTCTCAAGCTTCTCATCACATCACTGGAACTAGAGGAATGGATTAGCGAGTGAGGATTCATGATTCTATCGTAGTGAAATCCGATAACTCTATGCTACCGCTTTTTAGCAACTATTTTCGGCGCCGAAAAAGAGGGGTGATATCTCTCCCGGTCTATCTGAACATCCAAAAGCTCAGGAGTTGCTCTGCCCTCCTGGAGCGCTTTAGAGAGCACTGCTGTTGCCACTCCAACTCCAATGCAAGACCGCATCATCTCGCGCATGCTCTGGGCATATGTTAATGATTTTTTCTACAAAAAGATGGTGGGATTGCGGTACCGTTCTGTATCGCTCTTCGCACAAAACAGCGCGGGCGGTTCTGGCATCTAGTTTGCACAATTGATCAAAGTTCTTCCTCGCATCCGTCGCGCTCTCGGAGGCCATTTCGAGGAGTTCGGATGTCTAAGGCTAATAAGCGAATACCCCATTTAATAGAAAAAGGGACGCTGACCTCAATTTCCTGACTGCTGGCCAGGGACTGGAAATCCTCGAAGGGTACCACCTCTGGGCAGCCGATGGTGAAGAAAGGCTTCATTCTTACTTCATACCTTAGGGCATCGCTGCTGAAGGGTTGTGGCGGTTTCTTCAGCAGATCGAGTCTTGAAAGAGCGGTGAATAACTGGGAAGGTCAGTTTACGAATCCACAAACTAATTCCCAAGGAATGCACTTACAGCAATCATAGCACCTGCCAACTCTTGCACCCCAGCGGCTTCCAGCAGATAAAAATTCAAGAGTGATAAAGTCTTTACCTGCTGCGGATTTGAGCGCAGTTCCTTCCTCCTTTCTAATGGAGGGCCAGAGATAGCCCTGCTCGCAAACTGCAGCATTCTTTCGATATGGCTTATCCTTGTGCGGGTGTAATGCTGCAAATACCAGTACATCCCAGCGAACTCGTGCGTCTGGAAAACATCCAACTCAAACCCTAGAAGCATGATCCATTCCATCTGCCGTAGCTTGTAATGATAGACCCACGAAGATAGTGGAAACGCGAAGCTAGGTCCATTTGGAGTCATTACTGCCTCTTCATTTGTAAACTGGCGTAACTCTGAATCCACTTCTTCCGCCTAGATGACCACCCTGTTAGATAAATCAATTCTTCTGGGCACGGGCTGACATTACCTCGACTTGGAGGGAATCCCAGTCCAGAATAGAATGGCATAGAGTTCTACGTAATCGCGGTCTATTCTGGCAGATGTTTCGAAACAATTCCATGAAAGACTGAGAGGGCAGAAAGTTAGTCTTTATCTCTCCTGAGCCCGAGGATAGAATTATACCTTTCCAGCTCTCTCTACGAACCAACTCATATGTTTGGTTATCTCGAACCTAGGGTCTTGTGGTGCCTCAACTAGGTCATTCTGAGGGTCTAACAGGATATCTGCTGGATAACAAAGCTCCTTGAGATCATCGTAGAGAAGTTGCTTTATGGAGAATTTTCCTGGATTCTCCACCTGTCCGAAAAACACGGATTGGAGGAGCGATCGAATGTACGGCGAAGGGGCTGGTTGGCGAGTCGTAAAACCCAAAAAATAGTTCTAATAATATGGGCAAGGGAGTCTGGTTAGTAGACTGGCACAACATCCAGAACAAGATAATTACTCACAACCAAGTTTGTTGATCCCTCAAAATTAAGAATCTTCAAAATATCCTTGCCCTCAGCACAGAACCTCTTTAAATCTGAGATAGCATCCCTGAATGGATAATTGACCATTGCTCGTGGTGGTACTTGACTGGCCAACTTCCTCTGCACGGATATGCTAAACGCGGCAGGAACAGCTCTACCTACTTTGTAGGTTTCTTCAACCCCTTTCACATGTTCAAGAGATGTATCCCATATCTCAGTAGTTTCGGCAGACCATTCTTTGGTTTCGCTAGAAAATACAAGCACTAGAGACTTGCGGAGCAACAATCGATGCTTAAAGGCATCGCGGATCCCCTCAGAGTACAAATCCCCAGTTCCCTCCAGCCACGACAAAGCACTCTCCAGGAGGGCCACAATCTCTTCGGATTTCACTCCTTCAAACAGATTAACGCCGTAGACCTGAGTCACAAAGTCTTCTTCCTAAGAAAGCGTTAGCTTGATATCAGGGTTGAAAGGGCGAGCAACATTACAAACCTCATAGATTTGCTCTGCCAGTATCTGATGGTTGACATGGCTGCAGCATTTGATCAACCCAACGCAGAAGGGTTGCAGCACATTTTCTACCAATTGAGCCTCAGGAGTATCGGTTTTCTTTCCATGAGGTCCTCGGAATGTCGCTTCAGCAAGGGAAGAAGGGCCAGAAGACAGGAGCCTATCTATGTAAAGTGAAGTAAATAATGTCTGTGAAAGAGCACTTCCTCTGTTCCACGCCATCTATTTCTAGAACGTCAGAAGCAAATATGTTGGTCAATGCAGGTAATCACCCTTACCTCATGGCATAGGAGTTGATCCATAATCCCCACAACCTCCTCCGGTAGTCTTGGCTGTAATGCATCGAATGATTCATATTCTGCCCGTAGCATCCCACTATCCATCTTAGGATCCATAATCTGACAGTGGCAACCAGAAACCGTCAGTAACACACTTTGACAAGCCCAATGAGAGGATAGGTGGGAAAAGTAGATTACACGAACCTCCAAAGCGCCGACTGCTTGAAGTAGAGTAAAGTATGGGTCTTTGACCAGTTGGCCGATCTCCAGCACTAGATTTTTGAAGGGGTTAGCTCCAGAGTTTCCGTCACAGGAAAGAATTGGCATACTCTCTGAAGCCTCAAAGAATTCTGCCGTAACATCTCGAAAGGAGTCCATAGTGGCCTGGGGAACTGGGGTTATTGGGTTGGTTGTTGGAGCTGGGGTAGGATTCGGCCCTTTTTCTTTGATGGTGAGGCGTTCGAAATCCTCGGCGGGGTAAGCCAGATGATTGACCCCGTTATCCTCAGCCTCTCCCATGGTGATGGGGGGTGGGAGGAATCCGTCCCGCAGTGCTGGGGGTTTGTAGGGTGTCTATGCAGTGGGCTTGTGCAGCGTGTAGACTCTTTTTGGTTGTCCTTCACAATAGGCGAGATGTGCTTTGAAACATAAAGGAATTGAGGTGTGATGGAGGATCTCGCCTCTATTTCAGTGAAATCGGTGGATTCTACACTAGCAATGCCCTCCTTTCCACCCCAAACACCGTTTAAAAAAAGATATCTTCTACATGCTTGTACGATAATAGGAATTGGGGGGGGGTTAAAAAAAAAGTAAACCGATAAAAGTCCCCCTCTACTACTCCGCAGACTCCTTGGCCAAGCTTTTTACATCACCCTGCTTTCCACCCTATTTCGCAGAACAACAATGTCAACCAAATGATCTGTGTCCCACCAATAAACGAGCAGGATAAGGGCGTGAACAAACCTCCCACTTCGCAAACTTGAGTTGCATCTCTCCACGACGCTCGGCAGCAAGGCGAGGCTGTTCCTTAAGGGACCTGCGCACAACTCTTGCAGCGATGGATAGGTATTTATTGTAGCTGTTCAGCCAAAGTTACCTCCAATTAACGGCCGGGTCATCGATAGGAAGGTCATAAGGATAAACGTACGTAAGACCAGCAGCTCTCCAGGCGGCGACCATTGTGAATGATGGGGAAGGATCGGTTCTGATTCAAGTGTTTTGTCGGAGACTTTGCTTTGGGTATTTTCGGAATGAGGTTTCCTGAAACAAGAGTCTATCGGGAACGGCCCATGTGCCGTACTGCCCTAACCCTACGAACAGCCAGGATAGATTATGTAAACGGGGAGGGGCTTGGCGAAAACAACATGTACTCGTACAGTTCCGGACGCGTGAAACCAACCCTGAAGGGGACAACAAAAGAAGAGAACAAGACATGAACAACAGCAACACAAGATTGATGTTGTGAAAAAAATAAGAGCATAGAAATGAAGAGAAACAGTGTGAGAATAAAAGTATGAATCTAGTTTATTAATTAAGTGCATGGTGAGGGCAGGCAGTAGATAACAAGAAGTGAAAATTTTGTATGAGCAGAAAAAAAAGTGAACAGCCAAGAAAGTGCCTGATTAGGAAGATCGAGTGATATCTGATGATTTGTGTCAAGATGTTACGTAAATGCTGAAGAAGAAAAAACCGAAAGTGGAATTGGCTCAAATAAAGGGAAGAGAAGGATTTTGGAATGAGAATAGTCACAATGCCTCTATCAAAGAAACGTGTTTACCATTTGCAACTATGACAATTGACAGCAGAAAGAGCAAAACGCTGAAGGGAGATATTTACTGATAAGAAGCAGTACAAAATCCCCTCCGTTCCCCGACCGCAGGCTGAAAGACAAGGCGATGCAGAGTCAGAATCAGAATCAGAAACTGATTCAGCATTAGATGAAGAGGAGGATAGTGAAGCAGAAGTGGATGAAGATATGTTAGCGAGTAAAAGCTACATGGAGGAGAGTAATAGTATTGAGAAGGAGAACTTACATGAGAAAGAGTTCCGAGCATTACAATGGCAGGAGGGGGCTGGATCATCACTATCACAAGTAGTGCGTGGAGGCCCAGTTGGACAGATAGCCTTATGGAAGTGGGGAGTAAAAGCAAAGCAACTAGCACTTGAAGGACAGAAATCATATCGGATTACAGACTTGTGTGAAAGGCAAAAAGAATTAGGAATTAGTCTGAAAAAAGAAGCAGAGCAAGAAAAGAAGGTTTTAGAAGAAGGGGAGAACTCAGCAAATATAGCAGAGGAGGAGAATTTTGATAGGAACTGGGACAAGCTATCACTACAGTTGAGCCTTACTGATCTGCCTCGAGGGTTAGCTACAGTTCCTGAACCAACTGAGAAGGAATGAAGAATTGAGAATCGGAAAAGGGCCTAACAAATGATTCGCCATTTGCTTCAGAGAAAAAAAGACCAGGTTGTCCTCCATGGAAAGGAGGGGATAACAGGTTACTTGTATAAACAGTCTAGCCTAGTACAAATGTTTTTAGAGCTGCAGAAAAAGTACCCAAAATCCCATCGCCGCCAATTAGCATTATAGGCTTCCAAAGTAGTAGGGAGGGGGATATATACTATACATAAAATTGTGCAATAGGAGGTAGAGTTTTTGGAAAAAAGATACATTACCCCAAGTAATATAGGACAAATTGTGAATAAGATATAATCTTTACTAGAAGATGAGGGAGTAGAGTTGGCCTTGTATAACTATTTTGCTCGAGCTGGAAAAGGAAAGTAAACTTATCATTTCAAATATTGTTCTACTAGTATACGAATATGTATAGCTAATATGATACGTCAAATAAGTTTAGCTATAACAGCAAGTAAAATTGCTTAAATTATCAATAAATACATGCAAGAGACATACCGGGATTAGTCCAACAACCTCCAAACTGGTAATTTAAACCAGCTGATAGGTTTGATTAGTATTGAGGACAATATTGGGAGAGGAGGAATATAGAATGAAAGATCTGGAGCTAGCTAGTGGAGGAGTACCAGAGAAGTAAGAAAAAGAAAAAGTGTAACAGCACGAACAATTTGGAGATGGTTAAGACGAAATGGCTACAACTATACCGATGTCCAAAAAGAGGTATATGTTGATGAACATGAGAGAGAGGATATGGTGGCTTACCAGGAGTAGTTTATGAATACACTGAAAGGCTTGTGGCCCTTTGTAGTAGAGTTTGAGGACGACGGGAGTATAAAAAAAAAAACTTATTCCATGGGATGTGAGGTTGGAGGCTTGACAAGACCAATTATTCTAATTACGCACGATGAATCAACATTTTTGTTAAATGATTCACGGAGGCAAGCATGGGTCAAGTAAGGCTCATAAATAATCTGACCAAAAGGCTATAAACATGGGATTATGGTATCTGAGTTTTTGCTACCTTAGCAGAGGCTATTATTAGATAGCATTTTCCATCAAGAGCGACAAGCTCTTGGTCTACCTGTACAAGCAACTATCCTATTCGAATATGGAAGAGAAAATGGCTACTGGGAAGGTGGATATCTAGTCAAGCAGGTAACAGAATTAGCTATCCCAATTGTACAGGCAGCCTACCCTGGATATCAATTTTTATTTCTTTTCTCCAATTTCTCCCATCATAGAGCCATAACCCAAGATGCCTTACTTGCTCAAAACAAGAGTCTGGGGCCAGGAGCGAAGCAGAATTGGCTATAGGATGGGTAGTTTGGGGAGTCAGGTTAGCATGGGCAGAGTATATGGGAGTTTTATATCTGTAACGAGACTCCACAGAGTACTATTACAGTTGACCAAACCTATACCTATACCGGTATCAAGAGATTACCATGGTAGGAATAGTGGTAGACTAGACTCTACCAGCTAGAGGTACTGTTGGTTAGGTACCTCGGTTGGGCATACTATACTATACTAAGAAGTATATGGGTACTAGTAAGGAGCAGTAGTTACCCTACTCAGTAGGGTAACTTAAGTAGTCAATTTGGGAGTTGTCCTGAATTACTCAATGGCGAGTCCGGGTATAGTTATCCTACTCTGTAGGGTAACTCAGTATACTGTTACCCTACCTTTGGACTAAAGTTACCCTGCCTTGGGCTATGGGTTACCCTGTTATGGAGCCAAGTTACCCTACCTTGAAAGTAACTTGTTACGCAGGACTTTAGAGAAAGTTACTAGATGGTTTGTCATATGAAACTACATAGGGTGTTCGAATTTCAAGTTGTACAGATCACTCCCGCACAACCAGTTGAGCTCCGAAGCTGTAACTTGGAGGTGTGGTGGCGAACACCCCCCTCCGGCCCTGGTATAAGTCCCTGGTGTCATGGGCTACAGCTTGGAGAGTTGCTGTAAGCCTAGTAAATATCTTCAGGTGAAGATGCTTCTGTAACACCGTATACGTTCCCACTGTCCGTCCGACCGCAGGCTGTCCGCAGGATATATGAGGGGGTAGAGGTGAACCTGGAGAATAGTCTCCAGGTGGTTTAGTGTAAAAAGAACCAGAACTGATAGAGTAATACTACTTTGAAGTCTAAGGTAGTATGTGAGGTTACTGAAGGCTAGTAGGTGAGGTAACTGAAGTCCGTTGCCCTGAAAGTGTAATAGTATTGGAGAATAGTTAGGGACTCTGAGACACTAGTCTAAGGTTATGATAAGACCTGTTTCTAGGAGGGTTGACTGTGGGTAGCGCCTATTAGTAGTCAACATCTGAAGGGGTCTATCGGAGGAGCTACATGGCCATCATCCGGAGTGATATAGAATAGAGTAGAACAGGATAGATGTTCAGGGGCTGCAGATGCTTGTAGAAGACTAAGTGTATATGGGTAGAGAGTTCTATAGTTGGTATCGCATCTACTTAGGCATGACAGCTTACTACTGACATGTCTGCGATATGAAGAGTTTTTACTCCTGCAGTTGCATAGTAGATGTAGCGGCTAAAATACTTCTATCAGGTGGATGTTAAAAAACTACAAGAGTAGTCTAGTTCGCTATGGGGGATCTTTGGTCCGACCCTTAGAGGTTAGCTAGGCAGCCCAAGGGAGTTGGGTGCTCGCGAATACAGAGTAGTGATAGGGAGCAACAGGCAGTATATGAAATCTACTTAAATATATACGAGTTCTTCTTTACTCTGGCAATCAACTACCTCTCGAGATCAGGACTTAATTGAGTAAAAGCTGTGGCTTAACGATATTAAGTTTTACCATTTTGTTTTTTCAAATTCTACTATTAAGACCTTTGACGTTTATTATATTTGTTTACTTTACGGAAGAATTTATTTTGGTACAGTCGCAACCTGGGAATCCATCTTCCCAGAGGGAGTCTCCATTATAATATCAATGAGGAGGGGATAGAGGATATAAGACAAAAGGGAATAAGAAGGGTACTGGAGGAATAAAGTCTATAGCGGAAAGGAGGAGAGGATAGGCTACTTTTAGAATGTGCAAAGAAGCTTTGTGTTAGTTGCATGGCAGTTAAAAGATGCAAAGAGTGCATTTCTGGTACTCGATGTATGGAGTGCTGGAAAGAGACGGTATGCAGTAGCTAATGTGCAAGGAGGCGGAAGTAGGATGAGTGCGAACAGTGTCGTTGTAACGATCCCTCTCTGGATAGTTAGTTCTTGGCAACGGGGAACGATACTTCTCTTTCTGTCTTCTTCTTTCTTTATCTTACGATAGCTCTAGGCCTCTGCCTACGTTACCGATAGTACAAGACCTTTGTCTTCTATCAGGAACACCTATCATAAGCTTTCTCTAACTTGTCTTCGTGAAGGACTTTTCTTGGCGTAACAATAACGGTGCAATAAAGATAAAGATTGTAAAGATGTTTTATATTCGTTAAAGTAATAAGTAGGAAAAGTACTTAGAACAAAGCATGAAGAGCCTATCTTCCTCGGCCATAACAGCCTTCTTATATAGTACTCTTCCCACCCCAAGTCATGTGACTAAAAATAGTCACATGTGCAACCGCAAATCCTAACAAACTAATCATAATGCAATAAACAAGTCATATGACTCGACTGAGTCATATGCGCAAAACCCATGACCTCATAATGAGGTTATATGCTAAACATAAATCATATGCACAAGGCCTACCCGCAAGGCACACTCGCAAGGTATACTTGCCTAGCGCACGTCCCACGACTCATACTTGAGCCATGTGCGAAAGCATCACAAATCCCACACATAACAAATCATATAACCCGAATGAGTTATATG